ACTGCACTCCAGCCTAGGCGACAGAGCGAGACTCCGTCTCAAGAAAAAAAAAAAAAAGAAATGAAAAAGCTGATCCTCAAATTCATACGGATTTACAAGGGGCCGTGAATAGCCAAAACAGTCTTAGAAAAAAAAGAACAAAGTCAATGGCCAATTTTTTTTTTTTTTTTTTTTTTTAAGACACAGTCTTGCTGTGTTGCCCAGGCTGGAGTGCAGTGGCGTAATCTTGGCTCACTGCAGTTTGAAGCTCACTGCAGCCTCAAACTCCTGGGCTCAAGTGATCCTCCTACCTCAGCATCCCAAGTAGGTGGGATTTAAAAGGCATGTGCACACTACACCCAGCTACTTTTTTTTTTTTTTTTTTGTAGAGACACGGGTCTCACTCTTGCCAGACTGCAGCCTCACAACCTCCTGGGCTCAAGCAGTCCTCCCACCTCAGCCTCCCAAAGTGTTGGGATTACAGGCGTGAGCCACCACACCCGGTTAGCTTTTTCATTTCTGCAAAAAGGCTGTTGGAATTTTCATAAGGACTGTGTTTAATCTGTAGATCACTTTGGCTAGTATTAACATCTTATCAGTATTAAGTCTTCCAAGTCTTGCACAGTGTGAGCCACTGTGCCCAGCCACCAACTGATTTTTTACAAGAGTGCCAAGTCCATTCAATGAGGGGAGAGATTGATCTCTTCAACAAATGGTGCTGGGACAACTGGATTTTCACATGCAAAAGTATGAAGTTGGATGCCTACTTCACACCATATACCATTAACTCAAAATGGATTAATGACCTAAATTTAAGTCCTAAAACCATAAAACTGGAAGAAAACATAGGAGTCAATGTTCATGACCTTGGATGTAGCAACAGTCACCACAAGCATGAGCAACAACAGAAAAAACAGATAAATCGGACTTCATCAGAATTAAAAATTTTGTGCATCAAAGGACATCAAGAAAGTGAAAAGACAGCCTACAGAATAAGATAACATATTTGCAATCATATATCTGATAAGGATTTGCTATCCAGAATATACAAATAACTCCTACAACTCAACAACAAAAAGACAAGCAATTCAATTTAAAAATGGGCAAAGGAGGCCAGGCGCGGTGGCTCACGCCTGTAATCCCAGCACTTTGGGAGGCAGAGGTGGGCAGATCACCAGAGGTCAGGAGTTCAAGGCCAGCCTGGCCAACATGGTGAAACCCATCTCTACTAAAAATACAAAAATTAGCTGGGCGTGGTGGCATGTGCCTGTAATCCCAGCTACTTGGGAGGCTGAGGCAGGAGAATCACTTGAACCTGGGAGGTGGCAGCTACAGTGAGCCATGATCATGCCACTGCACTCCAGCCTGGGCAACAGAGCAAGACTGTCTCAAAAAAAAACAAAAAACAAAAAACAAAGGATCATGTCTTTGTGATTAGGAAGAAAAAAAAATGGGCAAAGGACTTGAATAGATATTTCTCCCAAGATATAAAAATGGCCAAGAGCACATGAAAAGATGCTCAACATCATTTAGATCAGTTACCACTTCATACCCACTAGTATGGCTATAATAATAATAATAATAATAATAATAAAATAATAAGTATTGGAGAAGATGGGGAGAAATTGGAGTCCTGGTACAGAGAATTATCATATGACCCAGCAATTCCACTCCTAAGAATATATCCAAACGAACTGAAAACAAGGAGTCAAAACATATTTCTGAACCAGCATTCTTTGCATCATTATTCACAATAACCAAAAGGTAAAAAACTCCAAGTGCCCATCAACAGATAACTGTATAAACAAAATGCAGTATATACAAATACTGGAATATTATTCAGCCACAAAAAGAATAAAGGTTGGACACATGCTACAACATGGATGAACCTTGAAAAAATTATTCTAGCTGGGTGTGGTGGCTCACGCCTGTAGTCCCACCTACTCAGGAGGCTGAGGTGGGAGGATCACCTGAGCCCAGCTGGGGAGGTCGAGGCTGCAGTGAGCCGTGATTGCTCACTGCACCCCAGCCTGGATGACAGAGTGAGACCCTGTCTCAAAGAAAATATTATTCTAAGTGAAATAATCCAGACACGAAAGGACAAATATTGTATGACTCCACTTAAATGAAATTATCTAGACTAGGCAAATTCATAGAGACAGAAAGTAGGTTAGAGATTACCAGAAGCTGCAGGTAATAGGGAAATGATTGCTTAATGGGTATAGAGTTTCCGTTTGGGGTGGTGAAAAAGTTTTGGAACTAGATACTGTAGTGGTGATGGTTACCGAACATTGTGAATGTAATTAATGCCATCTAATTGTACACTCAAAAATGGTTAAAATGGATTTTTGTTTTGTTTTGTTTTTTTGAGGTGGAGTCTCAACTCTATCGCCCAGACTGAAGTGCAGTGCTGAGATCTCGGCTCACTGCAGCCTCCATCTCCTGGGTCCAAGCAATTCTCTTGCCTCACAGCCTCCCGAGTAGCTGGGATTACAGGTGCCCACCACCATGCCTGGCTAATTTTTGTATTTTTAGTAGAGATGGGCTTTCACCATGTTGGCCAGGCTGGTGTCGAACTCCTGACCTCAGGTGATCTGCCCGCCTCGGCCTCCCAAAGTGCTGGGATTACAGGCATGAGCCACCACGCCCTTCCAGAAATTTTTATGTTATATATAGTTTACCACAATAAAAAAGTTTGGCCCAGCCAGTGCGGTGGCTCACGCCTGTAATCCCAGCACTTTGGGAGGCTAAGGTGGGTGGATCACTGGAGGTTGGGAGTTCAAGACCAGCCTGACCAACATGGAGAAACCCATCTCTACTAAAAATACAAAATTAGCCTGGCCTGGTGGCGGATGCCTGTAATCCCAGCTACTCAGGAGGCTGAGGCAGGAGAAT